CTCTCTCTCTCTCTCTCTCTCTCTCTCTCTCTCTCTCTCTCTCTCTCTCTCTCTCTCTCTCTCTCTCTCTCTCTCTCTCTCTCTTAAATATGTGACGCTCGTAACAGGTTACACAATTCTGTAATGAAATATAATAAATAGCGTTCAAGTGTCGAGTGTTACACGTGATAATTTTATACGCATCTTATTTCTCGCAAGATTTGATACATATATTTCTTCTTTTTTTGCATTTCTCCCACTTTTTCGTCGAGACCGTCGCGTCGACGTATACCGCGTTCGCAAAGGAGAAAGAGAAAATAAGGCGACGGTGAGATTTCTTTTTGCGGCGATTCTCATGTGGTTCAGCAGGATTTCTAACATCGTCGGGTTTAACGACCTTTGCGCTTTTTTCCGTCGACTTCGTGTCAAAGCAAGGAAGTTCGATTTTTACGAGCAGCCTGACGTGTCGTATGCGGCACCCGTCGATTCTTTACCTGACCAAAGAAAAATTCTCGGTTTGATCGCTCGCGTCTGTCTTTTTTTTTTATCGATAACGAATGCCCGATATCTATTAAACCTCACATTTTCGTAGATTGATCTCTAAAATGCGAAGTTTAAATAGTATAACGTAATGTTGTTAATAGAAAATGTTGGAGTCAGAAAAATATTCAGCAAAGCGCGTTGTATTGTAAAATATTAATTGAATTTCATTTTAGGAAATTATATGAAATATAGATGTCGGAAATAAAGTCGGGAAATTAAAATTTGGATTTTTACATTTTTTTAGTTTAGTTTAGTTTTTCAATTAATTGCATTTGAACTTTTTAACTCTGAATCTGATAATATATTTTATAAGTTGTTATTTTTCATTGCCTGTGCATAATTTAATGATTGTGTAATGTACAATATACACGTTATACATATTGAAGTAAAATTGATATTTTCTTATTAATACACGGAGAAAATTTTATATCAAAAATGTACGGCAGTAACCGCGGATCATGAAGTCGCGAAGACCGAAAATTTTTATTATATTTCACGTATGAAAAACATAGTAAAAATTTTTATAATTCCTTTATGGTCCGCGGCTACTGTTGTACATAGTAATTTTTGATATAAAATTTTTTCCGTGTAATAATGATAAAATTAATTTGATGTAATTATATTATATTATATTTATTTAGATAATATTTTATGTATTTTTATTAGTACACATTTGTTATTTATCGCTTGATATCTGTACTTCATTTTTTTCACAATTTTTTTATATTTTAATCGAATCTTCGTATTTCTTAGCGATTATTTAGATTGTCTGCACGCACTCGAGGGAATATTTTAATATTTCTCGATTCTTATTTGTTTCCAATCTGCTGCGCATCTACATCGTAATGCGTATCGTCAAAGTATCAGCAAAATTCCCACATCGATCGTTATATCTTTTTTCACTCTCAAA